TTTATCTTTTTTTTTATTCTTACCACGCCTTACTCAGCCATCTTGATGCTCAATGACTTATCATCACGTGCTCATAGCTCGAATTCAATTTTTCAAAGGTTTTAATAGGTATTTGTCCTTGGGTAAGAGCTAAACTTCCTTCTATTCCAAAATGTGTTAGATCTATAAATTCAATCTCTTCATCTCCTAAAGATTCACAAAATGTTACTTCTACAACATCTTCACTAAATAGTTAAACTCAGAAATTAGAATTATCAAACGAACATTTCATTTCAGCCCGAAGCTCGTTTTCTAAGTGTTACATTCTCCGATTTTCGTAGCAAACTAATGGATAGGTGAGTTTATGATATCTAATTATTGTTCATTTTCACTTTGTTGTTTACTTTCTTTGTTTTAGGTACATACACTGATGGCCATAATAGTTTGGCATTCTATGGCTTGGAAAAAAATATAAAAAATAAAAAAAAGTTTGTAAATGTTCAAGCATTGCAGTACATTGGAGAGCTAGAAGTGTTGCTTCAAAACCCTAAAGGTATGCGAAACAACTAAAATTTCAGGTTTCTCGTATGCCAATGTGGCTCCACTCTCTTATTTGCCACCCTTGTGTTAATTTTAGCGCGCGCAATTTTTATTTTCATTTTTGTTACGACTTGTACGTGTACTCGGTCGTATTTTCCTGTAGTTATTAAAAAGATTTTGTTTTAGCCGGCAAATGAAGGCTGTTTGTGTCTCCCGATTGTGTAACCGACACGGAATGACAATCGTGAGAGATTTAAAAAGGTGAGTTTGGTTTTTTTTCATTTTCATGGAGTATTACATTATTGTTTACTTCATTTGTTATAGGTACACGTTTTATGATGTCGAATCACGTGTTGTATTGGATGCTTCGATACTCCAGTATGTAAGGGAGCTGGAAGTATTACTGCAAAACCCAAACGGTATGCCAAACATCTAAATTTCTCCTACTTGATCAGGTAAAAACTTTTCCTTTAGTTATCAAAAGTATTTTGTTTTAGTTCGTGGAAATCTCGATCCTACAATGCGGTTACCTGTAGTAGACGAAGTATGTTTCTCTTTTCTAATAATCCATTAACAATGAATTATAATAATAAATTAATCTTTGCAAAATGTATTTAGGATTCTACAGTTGGAGTCCTTCTTAAAAGAATGAAGAATCAAATCAAAGCTGTATGTGTCCTCTCCGACGTTGTCTACATTGGTAGGTTTCAAAATTATAAATATATATTTTTGCTATCTGAATCAATAACGTCTATTAATTTATGTTTTTTGTAGATCCGCCGGCAAATCCGAATGAAAATGATACTATAGCGAGGGCTCGTAGGATTGTGAATTTGTTATACGACGCGATAAGCCCCCCGTCCTCGGCTTGTGGCTCTGGATATCTCCTTAGAAGACTAAAAAGACAAGTTACAGCTGTTTGTGTCCTTACCTTCTTATTTTTCGTATGTATGGTATTTCGACAATAAAAAAATTCCTATTTCTTGTTAAACTTTGATAAAGAAAGTCAATTCATGTCTGAATAAAGATACCTGTGTTAAGAATAAAATGTGGAGAGTTCTATTTAATTCTAGATATTTCATCAGGAAGCATAGCTGATGTTGAATCCAAAGGAGAATTTTTCCCCCTGCGGTTCTATAAAAAAAACTGAAGTGAAAATAAATAATAAATAGAAATCATAAACTCACCTACTCTTAGGTTTGGTACGAACATCTATGTACCACTTAAAGAGCGAGCTTCGGGCTGAAATGAAATGTTCGTTTAATAATTCTAGAATTAAAGCTTAACTCACCGAAACGAAAGACCTGGGCATGTTGGATTACAAATTCTGAATTCAACAAATTAGATGTTTAGGAAAAATGAAAAATGCATACCAAACTCGAAATTAAAGAGAGAATATAATAATAAAAATGGAAGCCATCAAAAAAAAACAAAAAGTTCGATAAGCTACTGAAAGTTACTTTTCTGAAATAATACGCAAATTGCGTCTTATTCAGGGACATATTAAAATCACGTTTTGACAACAAAAATTGGAAGAAAAAAAATGAATCCGATCTGAGTTAACAGAGACTGCGCCGTGTCTGTCGCAAGTCTAAAACCATTCTAATGTAACAGCTTAATAAGCTTTGTCATCCATACCCTTACCTGTTCATGGCTATTTCCAACCCTTTTTCCACTGTTTTCTTGAGCTCGAGATCTAGCGGGTTGACGGCGATTCTGTTGTTCATTTGGATGATGTTGAAGATATCCAGGTGGATCTCCACTCATTGAACATAATATTGAAACATTTAAGAAGGATATAACCAACCAGCTTGAAAATTATGGTCAGCATTCACTGGAGTTCCACTGACCCTCCGCTTTTTCCCATATAGTTGAGAGTCCGGTGAAGCTTGTGAAACCACAGGGTTCGGCGAAGGAGAAGGCGCAGCACTATTACGGGACACCATTTCCACTACAGAAGCGATAGATGAATCTGTTTAACCAGAAAAGTGAAAGAAGAATCAAACAAGAAAAATACCTATTCTATCTGCATTAGGGGTATTAGATTGCTGTGAGTTAGAATTCTCGTTTGGAACTCCAGATCTACCATCAAGAAATTGGGATTCCGATAACAAACTATTGCTCGCGCTCAACTCGTTTATAGGTTCAATATGATCGAGGTCGCCTAGCATAATAATAATAAAATACCAAGGGTCGAGAAAAATTACCTACATGCTCGCCTTGAGAATGCCACAGTTTGTCAACAGCGGCTTCACTGCCGGGATTGTTGAAACTGTTGGGCGATGGAGAAGTCCCATCTTGGGAAAAATCGCTAGAAGTTCTCTGTGACAGATTCGGATGAACAGAACCAGGACCTTAACCCAAGAATTAGAAAAATTATGATAGTTCTAATAACCTGTCGGAGGGTATGGAACATGAGGCTTTTGCTGCCATGACTGATTCACTTGTTGCTGATACAACATCCGTTGTTGCGTCTTAAAATTAAAAATAATTGTAGAAATTAGAAAACCTCATACAGAATGTTGCCACATTTGCTGTTGATGTGGGTGCCCCGTATAGTTTGGTGGTTACTGCGGATGACCCGGAGAGAGGTAACAAATACCGTTGGCATATGCTGAGGGTCTATCATTCTGTCTTACATGAACTGTGGTTGTTGCTGTGTTTGTTGTTGCTGAGCTAACTCAGCTTCCTTTTGCTGGTGAAACTAAGCGACAAAATTATTTCAAAAAACCTCAGGCATAGGGACAAATGGAGGAGGACCCGGTTGTTGCGAGCACCTTGAGGATAGTTTGGTGGAGCACCCAACCGATGATGTGGAGGATATATATGCTGGCCGTGTGAGGGGAAATTCTGAACATAACAATTACTTCTTAAACATTCGAAAATTCCTAACCATTGGAACTGGTCCAGGTGAGCCTTGTCTGGGACCGGCGGCGTTTATTGGGAGGAGCAGCTCCAAGGAAATATTGACTATTTGAAGATGGTGGCTTATTTGGAGTTGCAGAGTTTGGCGTGAGAGGAGTTGGGATACTAGATCCTGGAGCTTGATTATGAGAATGAGCTCGCCAAGCTTGCATATGTTCAATCACTTGCTGTTGTTGCGTGAGCAAACGTTGACGATCCATCTGAAAATAGGGCTTTGAAGTTTTTAATTTCATATACGTTCACGGATTATTTCGTTCAACAGCATCAAACTGTTTCAGTTGATGTACTATTGTTCTTTCCGATTCTTCCCATCTCTCTCCGAACTCATTAGTTCAACGAAGGAGTAGAATG